CATACAGCTGCTGTGGCACCCTGCAAGCTGGTTTCAGAAGCCTAAGAGGAATGACACCCGGGCGTTAAGTGAGCCAAATCACCGCCTGACCAAAGTCACATCGCCCCACCCCCCCGCCAACACACAACCACACACAGACAGACCCGCGAGCTGGCCCCACTGCAGCTGGAAGTGCTGCCAGACCCCGGAGGTCGAATTTGTCCGGCAGACGACTGCAAGGCAAGACCAGAGGAAAAAGCTGGAGAACGGAAAGAGAGCAGACCGGCGAACAAACAGGCTCGATACAGGTGAGACAGGACGGCTGTGAACGTTTTTGTTTGATTGTTTTTTTTTTTTTTTTGTTTGTGCGCCGCGACACTGATGGGCAGAAATTAAAAGTTGTCTGAAGGTAATGAACGACTGTGTAATGTTGTGTGTGTGTGTGTGTAAGGTGGGCAAGCGCTGGGCAGGCGCCAGCTGGAGCAGTCCGCAGGCCGGAGTGCGACAGAACTGAAAAACGTCACCTGTCGCGTGTGACGTCTGACGCTCCAGGACGCCGCCGAGTCTCCACTGACAAGGCCTGCAAGCCGCATGGCACGAGGTGGACGCAACAGAAGGAGGTCTGTGTCGCGGCCTGTTCGCCCAATCAACTGTCTGAGTCATAATAAGCCCGTGTTGCTTGCATTAGCTTACATTCTTTATACTGCTCACACTGGGTGCGGTGTGAAATGTTTTAATTTCCACTCCAGGTCCTGGAAAACGCCTGGAAATTTAGAGGAGCTAGTATGGAAACATCTGGAAAATGGTTAGTAAATGACGCATGTTAGTGTGAGGCTGATTGCCTCTTTTTTTGTTGTGTCTGGGCAGTGTTGTTGTGTTTTTCAGGTTCGAACCAATGAGTTGACGTCAGGCCCTCTGGAGGAAGCCGACAACGAGAGAGGAGATGAAGAGAAAAGCCTGCCAGCGAAAAACCAGCAGCTGCTGGGGGGGCCCGGAGATATCGCCCTGAGCTGACGCCGGAGCGCTGGCAGGTGTACGTTGTTTCCACTAAACAGTTATGTTCTTATTAAATATGTTTTCTTTCATTTTCAATGCTTAAAAATTATAACCAATTAATTGACCTATGACCCCAAAACTGCAGCTCCTGGACTCTGTGTTTGTATTGAGTATAAACAGATATATAGGCAGTGCAAAGACAGCGTGCAGTGACTACAGTCCGACCAAGTGTCTTATTATTACATTTATTATTACATTAAATCTGTGATTTATTGTTCCATGTGTAAAAAGACCCTGATCTCTACCTGTCCCCGCTCCTCTCTGGCTCTCAGCGATCTGGACTCTCTGTTTCTCCTCCTCCAGCTGCTTCTCCAGCGTTTCCATGGTGACCTTACACTGGTCTAGACGAGCCTGGCGGAAGAAGAAAAGAGATGTTTGACTGTGAAGAGGCAGCAGCAACCTCAGGTGTGTGATGGAGAAGTTGTTAAACAGCGAAGAGCTGGAGCTCGTCCGGTGAGTAATAGATTACTTTTTCCTACCTGCAGGTCTTTGTTGTCCCTGCTGAGCCGGAGTCTCTCTGCCCTCTCTACATCAAGAGCCTGACCCACCGCATCGCCACGGAAACGCTCATCACTTAGCTCAGATGTCACCGCCATAACCTACACACACACACACGCACAAACACACACACATATATAACGACATGAGGTGTGTGTGTGTGTGTGTGTGTGTGTGTGTGTGTGTTGCAGCACAAACCTTGGTCTCCAGGCTGTCTGCAGTCTGCCTCAGCTCATTCCTCTCCTTCTCTGATTTCTCCAGGCGTCGTCTCAGAGCCGATATCTCGTCCTGACAAGAAGAGGAAGAAGAGGAAGAGACGTCTCAAGGCGACTGAAGCATCTTTCAAAGTTGCGTCTGAAAGGATTTGTTATATGAACTCTTTGTTAGCATCATTTCAGCCATCGGAGCTTTTACTGCGACCGTCACCTGTTGCTCTCACAGGTTTCCAAACACTGCACATTGTACTGAGTTTCTCTAAAAGGGTCAGGAAACATCAGCAGCTGATCAAATATGAAACAGCTGAGGTCAGCAGAGTTTCCAAATCGACCTGATTATTAAAACTATATTTAAACTCACCACTCAGCACAATTGGCTGGTTGTTGTTTAAAAAAGTTACCCAACATCTGAGGACATCTGAAAATGAATCCATCCATAATTTCCTGAACTAATTGAGTTTAATAATTTTACAAAACATAACAGGAGCTCATGTAAGAGACGTTACGTGTGACAGAAAGCTTCAGTGTTTTCTTCTCGTTGCTCTATCAGCTCTTTGGTTGTTCTAACTTCTCTAATGCAGGACGAGGCTGTTGATCCTTGCTGTTGGACAGGAAGTGACTGCACTGAGTCAGGAAACAGTCATTAACCGCCTTCACACTTTGGTGTTTCACATATTAAACAAACGAGATTTAACATGTTAATTAATGAGCTTCAGTAGTGCTGGTAGGACAGAGCCAGGCTAGCTGTTTCCCCCTGTTTCCAGTCTCTATGGTAAGCTAAGTGTGTGTGTGTGTGTAGTCCCTGATGTGTGTGTGTGTGTACCTCTTTAGCCCGCAGCCTTTCGTTGTCCATGTTTACGTCGAGCAGAGGTCGCACTCGACAGAAAAGTTTCCACCAGCTCCACTTGGCCACGATTCTCAGAGCCCTCAGGTTCCTCTGCAGACAGGTGACCGCCATCTGCTGCACCTGGACACACACACACACACACACACTTACATAACTTAACTTACATTTTGACTGAAATGACCAATCGAAACGTTAGCACTGTGTGCATTTAAAGGGCCGTATTTGGTGAACTTAAAGGACCAGTGTGTAGGATTTATCTTGAAGCAAAGTTACCACTCGTCTTCCAGGCGTGAAGGAGAAACTACGGTGGTCTTTTTCCTTAAGGGACCTCTTTGTGACATATTTTATGACAACTGATAAACTGTACAATTAAAAAAATACACACTGGCGTCATATATCTCAACATTTCATTCATTTCTGTGAAGAAAACTAAATTAAACTGCTATGTTTAAAGTTTATATTACACTGTAAAACCAGATAAGTTAATTTAACTGAATTGTTGAAAATTTACACAAACTCAATTTTGTAAGTTAAGGAAACATTCTTTATCAAATAGCTTTAATAATTTGTTAGTTACACTAAATAACTTTCATGTATTGTGGGAAAAAAAAACCTAATTAAAAACTACTTCAGTTTACTTGAGTTTGTGGAACTTTATTCTGAGTGAAATAACGTATCGCATTACAGTTTATTATTTAATATCTAAACTTTGATGATCTGAACACAAGCTGTATTAGAACAATGGCCAGTTATCAGGGAGAAGAAAACACTGAATTGGTCAAAATTATAGACGGATTACCGACTTCTACAGCTGCACCAGAGCTTAAGCTTCTTGAAGGAGCAACGGTGTGTCATCAGCATACAGATTACAGACACTAACCTTCAGTTTACGGTATTTCTGACGGGCCAGGTGTCCCATGCAGGAGGCCTGTAGATGCACCAACCAGCCGGTGACCTGCTGGTCTCTTTGCTGCTCCAGGTAGCGCAGCACTCCTCGTTTCATGAACACCTGAAGCAGACACAGCAGGAAAAAGATCTGTGAGTCACATTACATCAGCCGGCTCTGCTGTTTGATCAGAGGAGCTCAAACATGTTCTCACCCGGCCGGCGCCCACGACGATGCTCTTTTTATCCAGATCCAGCTCAACCAGCAGCTCCTCCACCGCCTAAGACACAGAGAGGACATTTTAATTCAGAGCCGCAGATCAGAGACGTTGTGTTTGTGTGACAGAGATGAGATTCCTGACCTTTCTCTCATCGTGGCTGACAAACATTGAAGCGTAACGTTTCATAATCGGAGGAGACAATGCCTGGAAGTAACACCTGAAGTCACTCAAAGTCATGTGTTCTGGATAACCTGAGAGAGAGGAAGGCAGACAGATAGATAAAACACATAATTTATTTTCATATTTAGTTTTCTATAGTAAGTAAAACTCCCTGCAGATAAAAATAAATGAAAAGATTTACATGCTAAATAAGGAGCAACACTACACTGTAAAAAAAACAAAAAAACAAAAAAAAACAACGGTAATATTCTGGTTTTTAGCTTTAATTTTACATAAAATCATGTGTAATTTTTTAATTAATTTAGAATTAAAGATATTTAAAAGAAATGTAAGCCTGTATTTATAGGTCATTTCATTGTTTTTACATGTGTAAGTAGATAAAAAATTACTGTATTTCTACCGGTCAGATATTTTTTATAGTGTTGTCTGTTAAACTATTACTAATATTTTTTAATGAAGGCTTTTAATACACAACGCCAGTTAACTGTTGCATCTAAGATAGCCCTACATTTGTTTCTGCAATTAATTCTTGCTGCATTAACTATTAAAGTTAATGATAATAAACTGAAGTGCATATTGTATAACTTCACAACATTAAACTCCTCCTTATTTAGCATTTCTGACTGTGAAATCGACAGACTGGATGTCGACCAAAACCTTCATTTATGTCCAAATATATCACTCTTATTTAACAGTGAGCAGTTTGTAATATGTTTCTGATTTAACTGCTTCCAGATCAGCACCACTGCTCCAACTTTAATCCCATAATCTATTAAATTCAGGCTGTGGTTTGCTTCCAAACTACTTGTAACTTAAAGCTCCTGTTTACTCAGCAGCACTGTGCCAGTCCAGATAAAAATAGGCAGATTTTTTAAGGTAAAGTGGAGCTAAACGGATAAATCTGCTCACTTTATGAGTGTGGGCTGCATGTTCTTTAATTCTGCTTCTCAGGTAAGTCAGTTTTATTTTCATTTTGGCATCTGGACGCAAAGTTTTTCCTAATATTTAAAAAAAGAGTTGATTTAAAGGGTGACACTTTACTTCGAGTCCACATATTAAGCATAGTTAGTATATAAACATTTAATGAATGGTTTATAACATTATAATATAGATTTAGGATAACATGTAAGAAAATAGAAAAATTGACACTATGTACAATAAAAGAGAAAAATAAGCCTGTGTATATATGTACAATAATAATGAAAACACATTTGCAACAATATAACATATTATAATTGTAAAAGTTATAATTGTTGACATATTGACTTGATCTGTTTACAACTACATTATGGTGTGTTATAAACAATTTTATTAACTATTTGCATGGCTTATAAATGCTAAATAAAGGGAACTTAAAGTGTTACGAGATGCAGTGAAACCTCCTCAAGAAATCAAGTAAGTGAGCATTTCATTATTTGCTGTTAATAACATTTCAGATGTACATTTTCATCTGTGTTGTGCCCAGCCTTTTAGTTTGTTAAATAATTGAGGTGAACAGTGCCTGAATTGAACCAAAAGACGAGGCAGTACCTTCAATCAGCCTGACCCTAAACACAACATAACTTAGTTTTTTTAAACACACATTGTCAGTGCTGTTTCCTTAATGTTAAGCTAGCTACATGTTTAAACAGAGACACAGTTGTTTTTGAGGACCTCACCAGCATTGCTGTACGCTGGGTTTTAGAGAGTCCACCACTGTTATCAGTGTGAATGCTGACCTGTGCGGTGGAGCTGCAGGGCCGACAGGATCTGTGTTGAGTGCAGCTGGACTCTGAGTGCCGGGACGTCAAAACTTCCACCGTCAGTCTTTGCAATCACACACTGCAGGAACACCGGCCTGGCTCGACGGAGCAGGTTCACCAGAGCATCCTGCAGGGCGGCGACAGTGACAGTGAGACTGAATCCAGCCTGAAGTATCCTCTGGAGATATGGATGCGTGTACTGGTGCACTTACTGCCTGTAGTTTGACTGCGATACATTGGGAGTGTCTGCGTATGGCTGCCATCCCTCCGCTGAATGTTTTCCTGATGGTGCCGTTCCTCTGCAGACAGCGCTGGCTGCTGCCCTCCAGACCCCCCAGACCTCGACACAGAGGGGGCAGAGAGATTCTGGGGGTAAACATGGCCTTCACTACCCCTCTGAGGAAGGCAAAGAGAGAAGTCATCACATGTGAAAGTACGACATGAAAACTGATGGCACAGATGCAGTGATCAGATTCTCAAACTGCACTCACTACAATAAGTGTTCACTACACATTGATGATAAAATATAATTGATTATATTTATATATTTATTAGTTCTATTGGGGTATTATTGTAGCAAAATTATTTGTAAATGTGTGGAGATTATGTGAATGTGTTAAATAATGTGTACTGAGAATTGTTATTATTGTTATTGTATATATTGAGATTTCTAAATGTGTACATGAATCTGTAAATGTGCATTGAGATTTTTAAATGTATGCTGAGATTCACAGTTTTGTCAGAGTAAACAAACAAGATTGTCCACATACTTTTGGCCATGTAGTGCATTTTTAATGTAGTAAATGTAAATCTTAAGGCCATTCTGCCACCAGGCGCCTACTATAACACATCCATTCATTCACGTTCAGCCTCCTGAGCCTTTAAACTGACTCACATGGTGGAGTTCTGGAGCAGACAGATGGCGTTGAGAGACGACAGGTTGTTCTGGATCAGACCGAACCACCCAGTGAGGTCGTAGCGGACAGGGTCACAGCCCATCAGGTGGTTCACCTCGCACTGCAGCGGCTGCTCGCACTGACGCACTGCAGGGACATTCACAATATCCAACACTCAGTTCACATTGTAGAGAGCTCACCCACACTGGGAGGGGCTCTGATTGTGTGCAGCTGAGGGCTTTTTACCAGTGTTGCTGTAATACTGGCAGACTCTCTCCACGGCGCTGTTCTCACTGGAGGCTGGTGTCACCATCTCCTCATCCAGAACCCATAACAGACCTCTGGGGTCTCCATCTGCCGCCCGGACCTGAGACACACACACACACACAAAATTAATCTCAAACTTCCTGCAGTTATTGTGTTCACTGATCACAGTGTATCAGCTGTTCTCTACTGTTGTTGTTATGTGTTGAATATAATATGAAATATCCATAATTTAGTCAGGGCTCGTCAGTTTAGTCAATGAGAGAAAAGATTGGGAACCACTAATTACTACAAGGAGTGCTGGGTTTTACTGTCTTATCTTTGATTCATTAACTGTAAATAAAAATATAAACTGAATGAAAGTGGAAGTGTTAGGTTAGGTTGGACTGTATGCTGTCTGAGAGGCAAAAAAATAGCTCTAATAATTAAAGGCAATTCAAGCATATCAACTCCTCACATCTCTTATCTGGAGTTTGGCAGCTGGATGATGCCAATTTTAGGGAGATTTTATTTTGAAAATCAACCTGAAACTATTTCCCATGTGGAAATGATTTCCTTCTCTGGTATCGTTTATTCAAGATTTTGCAGGACGGTTGAACAAGTCAAACTGTTTTATTTCTCTTTGCTCCAGAAGAAAGAAGAAAATAGAAGCAGCAGACATCCTGACAGTTAGTTCCCAGAAAGGTTCGAGCTCCAAAAACACTGGACAGACCTCCTGGTTGCAGTGAAGACTTCCTGTTAAAAATCGGTCATTGTTGTGTTATTTAATGAGACTATGAAGCTGTTTTCAAAGGTCGAGTGATGACGAGTACATTGACCTTTGTGTATGAAATGAGTGGAGTTGCCCGTTAAGAAATGTGAGGGTAAGTTCTGTGAAGTTGTGGCTGTTCCCAGATGTATGTGTCTTACAGTGATTATGATGAGTTGTGTACCTGTGGAGGCGGCTGGTCGATCGCAGACACAACCTCAGCCGGGCTGTTCTCTGGATTCTCAAACTCCACCGGGATCTTCTCCTGTACCACAAGCACATATTATTATACAAATCTGAGGTACTTTACTTAGTGAGGACAATATTTTACTCCACTACTTTTATTTACCAGCTTTAGTTACTTTATTATTTGTTACAGCCGTTTTTACAGTCATCAATAATTAAATCACAATAAGGTCTGAAGGTTTATTTACATTAAGGACACAATACAACATAAGACCAAAACATCAGGTGAGATAATTCTAAATGTGTAAATTAATCTGTAAATGTGCACTATAATTTGTAAATGTGGACTGAGATAAGTAAACGTTTGCTTTGACTTGTTTATGTAGAAACAGTTTCAACCTCAAGATAAATTCCCCTCAAATGAATTTGAATTTTTCAATTAATCTTGAGGGGAACATGAATGTCTCAACAACATTTAATAACAATCCACCCGATGCTTACTGAGATATTTCAGTTTGGACTAAAGTGGTTGACTGATGCTAATGTGGCAAATAAAAATCAGTCCACAAACTAGTGAGAAACCATCTCTGCACTGCACTTTGAATATGCTTGAAGGAAAATGATTCCATTGTACAGCAGCAGAATAAAGACATTTTTACTCTGAAGACTTTGGTGCTACCTGGTTTCTGGTGAACACCCGAGAGTTTCTTGCAAGCAGCAGAAACTTAAAAAAATAAATAAAAAAGTTTTTGGTCATGTCTCCTTGGGGGCTCTGTAATCCTTTCACTGTCAGAGAAGAAAGAGCTTTTGTACTTTTGGAGTACAAACTGTCACTGGGGAAGTAGCCTATATTACAAGTACACCGAGGTACCTTAGCTTGCAAGACAATTTTTACACTTCACACATCAGTTTGCTTTCATCTGTTCCACCTTTACTGACGGATATCAGTCATGTTGAATTAGGGCAGTAAAATATGAACTTTAAACTATCAGAAACTTCTTTAATGATGTAACAAAAGCTACAAATATGATTTCTTATGTGTGTGTAATGTTACATCTGAGAAAAGTGTTCATCTCAGTACAAAGATAAACTCGAAAACTCATTATTTTGTGATGCATTATTATTCAGTTTATGTCTGCAAACATGAATTAAAAGTCCAAAGTCTGGCTGGCTGTGTCTTGGCTGCGCGGTGTGGGTCTGGCGTTGG